TTCCGATGTAGACAGCCATGTAATTACAGGAAAGCTATCACAGCTAGCACACCACAGTTTGTAGCACTTTACTCATCACAGCGGTCCTGACTAACACAGAAATCATGATTTCTCCCAAGACCACTTATTTTTTCATTCAAGTCGTCTTCTGATTCCTGTAAGGCAGCCTATAAGGACCCCAGATAAGGAAAAAATAACTCAAAAGTAACAGGACTTTAACCACTTTAGGACATTTTTAGGATAATGCATGAAGTCACATTTAATGTTCTCTTCTGTCTAGCTTTTCATCTAGTGCTAGAAAATGCTCTCCTATAAAAAAGTACCACATTTCTTTCTATGCTACAGTATTAAACAAGAAAATATTTATAATATATAGATATCCATCACTATGCCAGGGAGAAAACTACAACACATTTATCTCACTACAATCAGATTTTGTAAAAACAAACAAGAAGTACAGCACAACATAAGAAAGCACATTTAAGATGACAGCTTATACACAAGTCTGCTGCTCTTAAAACAGCAAGGGATGTGATTATCTCAGCTATCTGCATTAGTAAAGACCAGAATGTTATGATTAGCTTTAAAACTGCTAACACACAGAGTCCCTACTGTATTAATGACCCTAAGATTGAATGTTCCCTCTTTGAAATGTGAAGCACAGGCTAGAAGCTAGCTGAAGAACAGACTCACAGCTTTCCCTTCAAACTACTATATCACCTACAAAACAAGGCAGTGTTTAAATGAAATCAGGGCTTTACTGAAGACAAAAGTGTAAGAAAAAGCTCAGAACCACTATAAAACAATGAAAACTGAAGATTTTCTGAGGTGCACATGGCAGCTAAGTGCCTTTGAAACCCTTTCTGAAGCCAATTGGGTTGTTTGGGTTGTTGGGGTTTTTTTTCTGATATAGAAGAAAAATCTCTTTGCATATAAAAGGGTATCTGATCACTTTCTGAGTAAAATAAAAAATATCAGAAATCCTGACATGCTTTATGTCTAAGAGTCTGAAATATCTACCAGAAAAACTAGAGGAGATGAAATACACATAGTTAAAATCTTACAGATAAGAGAGAGGTTGAACCTCTTTAGTTTGAATCTGCAATAACAGTTACTTCAGAGGATTATAAAACACGGATTAATTTTGTATACTGATACATAATTAACATCTAAGAAAAGGTTAATCAACTAATATTACAACAGTAATATTATTACAGCCATGCTAGTCTAAGGCCATAAGGCAAAACTGGTAGAGATTACCTCAGTCACATGAACATGAAAAGGTCACAGACACACATGAAAGCATGTCCTTTCCCCAGACTACTTCATTCACCTAATAGAGCTCTTCTGCTGTACACTTAACGTTAGTAAAGCATTTTCAGGTATCTGCTGCATATGCACTTGTATAAGAAGTGTTTCATGCTCCTGTGTACATTATTGAAGGCTTTGAACGGACACTAAATATACTTGATACTACCATTGTCTACCTAGTCTACTGGAGAAAAATTTTTCCTAGCGAATTCTGTAGAAAGGACCTGTGTTACCTATTCTACACATAATTCAATTATCTTAAAATGCACGCATTCCTACATTTGGATGAGATGACAGCAGCTTACATCCATATCAATATTCAAATGAATAATAGCATTGTACCTTAACAGAATTGAACAGAAAAATAAACCCCACCATTTGAAACTGAAAATCATCAAAAAACATGCCAGCAAGTTGCATCCTTAACAATGCTTTCTTTGCAGAAAATTTGACATCATCATTTTAAAAAAAGAAAAAAAAAACTAAAAAAACAATGAAAAACTCAAGGCTGGAACAGCTCGGACTACCAACAATACAATGCTGCGACAATCCCAGTGACTCAAATCTAAACTTCACTAAATTTAATGAATTTTTTCAGCCGCTTCCATGCAACATCAGAAGCATCATAAATCATGTCTGGCTGCTACTTTCACAGGGCATCTTAAACAGCAGACTGTAATCTGCAGCTTTGTAGCTACTGCCCTACAGGATAGCTTTTAGGGGAACAGAAGCAGAAAAAAAAAAAAATCCAAAACCAAACCCCAACCTTAGATTAGAAAACACCAGATGAAAAACAACTGAATACCAACTAAAAATGAACTTTTGCAGCCACTCAAACATACATCTTGAAAGAAAGAAAAAAAAGAAACCAGGTCATACATGGTGTCATCCAAAGGCCGCTTCTGCAGAGATCCTAGGTTACATGATGCTGTCTGCCCAAAATCTCCAAGTGCTAAACTGCACAAGAGGCAATGAAAATGGAGAAATGCCTTCCTAATGTTACTTTGCACAAAAGTAATTATTGCAACTGACACTTGACACTGCCAGAGATGTCAAGTGATCACAAACAAAAGTCATGACCCAGGATAGATGGTAAGATGGTAACACAGCATTATCCATCACTTTAAAGCTGTGAAAAGCCTTGGTGCTGTAGCACAGGGTGCTATATTTAACATACAATCATGAAGGACCTGATGATCTAAAAAAGACAAGACAAACAAGGCTACTTATTAGTAACAATCTGAAGCATCACACAAAAAAGGAGCTTGTATTTCAGTTTCTTTAGCTAACAAGACTGCAAAAGCTAGTCACATATTTGGGATTTGTGGCACAACAAATACCCCCTTTACTCAACTGTGACTCTCCAGCAGTTTTTGTAGTTTGGTGAAATTGCCTAGCTTTCCTTCCCAGGATGTCAGCCACAACAAAGCCATGACAATGCAACATACAGGATATGATACTACACTTCACTGGGCAGTCCCAGGTACAAAGAGACTTCTCCCTAAACCGCTGTAACCTGTCACCTGTGATTATTTATTGCTACACCTTCACATTGTGCTAAATGCTCCAAGGACAGTACAGCACACAGATGTTTTCAATACATGACTGAACAATCTAACTTACATTAAGGGTTCACAACATTTTACATCCTAACACCTAGCTTCTTCAGTTCCTCTTAACTTCACCAAACTTAATCCAAGATGAAACACTGTTATGCTCGATGCCTGCCTCAAGCAGAATGAGATATCATTTTAACCTGAACAAGTTAGGGGAGAGAGAGAAAAAGGAAAAACCAGGTTTGTGTCTAGGACTTTTTGAAAAAGTGAAAACTTCTTTTTGGAGTCACTCTAATTGCCTTCAAATTTTGAAGACAAGCTATTTTATTTTAAAAATATATATATTTTCCTACTTAAGAACAAGTCCTTATCAACATATGAATCCACCTAATTGTGCCCTTAATATATGGGTCTGGAAGAAAAAAAGGCCAAAAAAGTCACTGACAGCTCATGGAGGCTGAGTATATAAAAATTTATATATATATATATATATATTTTTTTTAGTAGTCCATCCTCCACCACCTGAGAGCTGACTACACTGCATATGCATCATTCCCATGAAGAAACTGAACATCCTGCAAGTGATCTAAAGCACAGATTTTAATTAGCACCATTTATGCAAACTTCCTGCTAGCATGTGGACAACATGGAGATGGAAAGCATATAATCTGAATGAAAGGTTCAAGCAAAGGGGGAGAAGATATAAGACAGACAAAAGAATTTTATAAAGAACTAGGGACGAAAGAGACAAAGACCGGCTGGGCAGAGAAATTCAGAGCTTGGCTCATCTCTGCAGCCCTGTGTCTCCCAAAGCTGAGGAAAGCCTGGATTCTTGGAGTCTGTTCCAAGTGCTTTTGTTCTTCTCACATCGATGAACTCACTGGCAAAACATCCATCTCCTCCAGTGCTAGTCCATTTCCTACTGCCATTGGCATTACTACATTAGTTAAAAAGGCAAAGGTCTATGCAAGTATGTTTCAACCCAACAGATCACCCAGGCGGGTAGCAGTAAGAAGTCATACCATACTGTTATGTTTGCACTAGTTTTATTTTTAACTACATATAATCATTAAGGTTGCAAACCCACACACACAAAAACTAAGAAAAGCTACAATTAAGACTATTTTGTGCAGCCTTCATCCACTGCTTTGTGCACTTGTGGTGTTAAGATGGTCTGTACTTAAAGTCACATTTATGCTCTTGAGACAGGCCTTTTCTGGAAATGAACTGGGAAGAAGAACAAGAGAATGTTTGTTCTACCCTTAATATCCTACTGGCTTGAACAGTTAAAGAAACCACGATACATATGAAGCATGAGACTGCAAAGAGAAAAGCTGAAAGAAAACCAGAGAATAAGGCCACCAGAAGCTATCCTTGCCACTGCCACCGAGTTCCCATATGACAGTAGGCCAGTCCTTTCCCCTGCCTTTATGGTAATTTTTTGTACGTTCCTTATTTTACAGATATCTATTTAGATAATCTGCAATCCAATTTGTGTACATATACCTGGCGGCAATTAGGACCTGTGCTTTAAACATACGAATTCCTTTACACTATAAAATGCAAATGGAAACAGGACAGTATTTTAATAACATTCCTGCCAGGTGAAGGAAATTCATTATTATTAATGGAGTACTTAGATGCTACAGTGATAACCAGCAAAGGAAGACTCAGGAGTAACTTAATAAATCTGCTCTTTGGGAAGGCTTTCGCTAATATAGTTTAAATGAAACTGGAGCTGTACAGAAAACAGTAAGTATAAAGCTAAATACTAGACAGCAGTGAATTAAATAGATACATCTTAATGCCATTGCCCTACAAAACAAAGAATTATGTGAACACATGCATTCACATAGTTAAAAGACAGAGCTACAGTAACTGCTTAAGCTGAGCCATGAACACTGGGCAATTCACACCTCACACACAAAAAAGCCCAACCTGAACAGCAAATCAAGAGATGAGGTTGTAAATAGTCTAGTAAGGGCAGTTATATCCTTACAGAAGCTAAGCAAGTCTATGCAACTTCTAAGAAAAAAAACGTGTTAAAAGATGCTACATTTTAAATACCTGACTTCCAAACAAGAGGAAAAAGACACACACACACATCACCACCACCCCCTCACAAATATTTACCTTACTGCAGTAAAGCATCCAAAGTTCATACAGCCTCTCTCGAGATGCCATTCCTTTCCTTCCTCTCTTCGTTGATACCGGCTACTTCTGTTCAAGATCCTACCATGCTCAGTTTCCCAGGTGCTCTTACGCAGTTTTTGCTTTAATATTACAGTTATATCATAACCCGAGAAGAATTCAAGGATGAAAATAACTCCGTCTCAAGTCTCTCCTTTTCGGGTAAACAACGCAGCACAACACAAGCAACTGCAGACAAGTGTCAAGCATGTCCGTTCTTCGCCAGCGCTGCTTCGGTTCTAATCTCTGAAAGTGAAAACATACCCTTCAGGCCTTTGGTGGCGGAGGAAAAAAAACAAATCCGTACTTAAAGCTCACAGACGACCTCGGGAATTACGCGGCGGCAGGTCGCATTGCTTTCGCCTCTGACATTATCACCCCTAAGACGGAGAAGTCTGGTCGCGAATTTCTTTTTTTGCGGGGAGTCCGCGGGGGGGTGTGTGTGTGAAGCAGCAGGGCTGCTGAGAGGGGACGCCGGAGCCCTGAGGGCGCGGGGAGAGGCGGCAGTGATAACGCGGATCCCCCTCCCGCCGGGCGGGCACTGCCGCCCCCCGCACGCCTGGGCCCCGGCCCGGCAGCGACAGCCGCCGCCCTGCTCCCGCCACCCCCGGGCTCCACAGCCGGCCCCGGAGCCCGGCGGGCCCCGGCAGCGACGCCTCTCGCAGATTAGCGGCTGCCCAGGCAGAGACACCGGCCGCGGCCTTTCCCGTCCCCCCGCGGGGCGCGGGAGAAGCCCTGCGCTGCCCCGCCGCCCGCTCCCGGGCGAGAGCGGCTGCCCCGCGCCACCACCTACCGCGCCCTCGGCCTCCCCCAGCTCCCGCCGCGGCGTCTGCCCGCAGCCTACCCGGGCCACGGTAGGTAGCGGCCGGGCAGCGCCGCGCGGCAGGCGGGCGGTGGAGGGGGGCGGGGCCCGCCCCATCGCCCCCCCCC